TCGAAAGTACTTGAACAAAAATAGCAAAATACGAATTTCGGACAGTTTATCCAGGAACATAATACTTAACATCTTATCCAAATGATGTAAAAGTGTGTGTGTGTGTGTGTGTGTGTGTGTGTGTGTGTGTGTGTGTGTGTGGCTGATTAAAGAAATTTGAGGAATAAAAAGAAAACAAAATAATAACAATATATATTCAGAGAATATAGTTTCCAGAGGGAGCCCTCTAACCAGCAACATTCTCCGAAAGAGTGATTCACACTTCTTTGATTATTCCTCGTCTCGTTGAAAAAGGACACAGGCGTGTCCTAAAATTCTGACTTTAAAATCTTTCTCTTCGAAAGGCTAGTATATAATAAATATCATCAATCTTATTGCCAATATTGTTATCATTTTGCTGGCTTAACCGACCTATAAAATCTACATATTGTAAAAAGCACATGTGGTCCATCTTTTGTTTTACTCATAAGATAACAATATATAAAGTTTTATATATCAAGAACAATATTAGAGGAAAAAATGTAGGACAATGTGGAAAAATGTTTCATTTGACACATTCTATCCGTTAAGACATCATTGGACTAAAAAAGAAAATCCTAAAGTACGAAACTTAGATAGATAGATAGATAGATAGATAGATAGATAGATAGATTTACCAGGCGTTACAGCAAAATTGTCCAAGTTATGTAACAGCCAAATTGTCCAATTTTTAGATTAAGCTTTGAACCGTTGTATCTTAGAAATCATTAAAAATATCTTACTGGAATTTTTATAACACTAATGGAGTCTACTTGGAGCAATAAGAATGTATTATTACTCTCTAAGCTTAACAGAAGCATCGTGATGAAATCGATCATAAATGGAAATGACATGTTCATCATTAATTAATCATAGCTAAGATTCAGAAGCTCATGAAGTAATTGAGATAAAAGTTCAAATATATATATATATTATTCCAGGATCATTTTCCAACTTATTCAAAATGATCTTCGGCCTCTCTAACCTTCTAACTTTCTGTTCTGGAGTAACAAGGTGTCTCACAGGTTTCACGTACAATTTCATTTTCAAGCCTTTTTTCACTGCTCTTTGGACTGTCATAGTTGAAACTCCTCTCTCATGTGCCAAACGTTTTATGGATTGAATTGGATCAGTTCTAATTGATGTCTTTAGCTCTAAATTGAAATGATGACCCCTCTTCCTCTTGTGACCTCCTGATCCCGTTAACCTCTCTACTGTTCCCTTTCTTTTAAAACTTATTGATGGTTCTTGAATGAACTTTGAAGAAGTAAGTCAGAGTATGAATGTTGGTGCCATCACTGAAGACCTGAATAATCATTTTCTTCTCACCATTGCTCATTTAGGAAGACAGCGGGATTGACACGAAACGATTTTAACCTGTTCTCTTTCTAGCTGAACAACTCAGAGTTTTTCAGTAATTCTTACTAAAAATGGCGTCAAGATGGCTAAACGTCTTGTCTGAAAACCTGGAAAAAAAGAGAGTTTAGAGTTTCTTTTTTTGTGTGAGATGGATAACTCCTATACAATACATATATATATATATTGATAATATTAGTGGCTAGTATATATATATATATATATATATATATATATATATATATATATATATATCCCAAGAGGATAGAATACAGGTAGAACTCAACGTCCAGTAAGAGTAATGCAAAGCAGACGGAAAATTTTGACATATGCATCGGAAGTATGAATTGGCTTAGATCATATCGTTTTTTATTGTGCGTAGTGTCACCATAAATGTATAGGAGTTCGGCAATTCGTTTTCTAACGATATTTTACTGTCTTAGTACTTTGGTTAGTTTCTGAAAGACATCTTCGACGTTTTGTTTGCGCCTTTCTGTGTCATATTTTCCGTCGTCTGTTATTAAAAAAAAAACTACCCAGATAGTTGAATATCTGTACCTCATTGATGTCGATGTCTCCAGTGTGTAGCTTCCACCTTGATCTGTCTCTTTTTGCTGACGACCATACATTCTGTTTTATTTCTACTTGAACAGATTCTCCTAACGTGTCTCGCCAATTTTCAAATGACAGCAATCACGAAACTCTGTGTCGATCTCCGATAAGTATTATGAATTTTAATTACATCTGATACGATAAATTACAGACTATATTTATAACATGCTCAGAAAGCAGTCATGCCATTCTCTCTTTATGTGATTTCTCCATCAAGGATCTACACATTACTTTTGTAGGATTTATTCCTTTGTTGTCTTCTCGAACGGAAATTTATCGACGTCAGATTATCTTTCAGAATATATGAAAACTTAATAGCTTTTGATTCAAACGATTCTTATATACAACGAGAAAGTTGTCCAACATAAGACAGTGTTTTAAGGTTGGGAATATGCTTTTGCCATTGTGAATAATATCAGCTATTTTTTTCTTTATTATCCATACTTCAACGGTCCAATCAGACGCTCGTAAGGTAGCTTTCATTACATAAGTAACGTCATTTGACTCAATGTACAGTTGGCCTTTTAACTAAGTTTTAGATTTTTAAAAATCCGATATTAAGAAACTTTCACTATATTTTAAAAAAATTAAATAATTCACATTTAATCTCATATTTCTATAATGGCTCCTTTATTTTGGGATGATTTTTAATTAATTTTTCTGTCAGTAGGCATCAATCATGGCTTAATCAAAGAGAATTTTGGATAAAAAAAATGTCATTAAAAAACGTCTAAAACTTGTCCTAAGCGAACAAAAGTATTTTTTTATTTACTTTTTTTTACAATTAAAGTTATTGCATTTTATGCAGTTAAAACGAAAATTTAAAATTTAAAGATATTTAAATTATTGCATCAAATTTTGAGTTTTTTCTTTAAAAATTCCGTGCGACAGATTGCAATGTTTTTGATGCCTACCAGTTGAAATCATAAACATAGAAATTATATCATATAGATATTATGTAGTTATGTCTACAAAAATATGTAAAGTGTATCTGGCGCTACACTATCAAATATAAAGAAAAGAGTAGCGTGTTACGTTTTGAACATTTCAAAGCTATGGACATTGGGGTTTATGTATAGGAGACCTGAAACTTTCTCTGTGTGACCAAAAATCCATTATTTTTTTTAATTCTGATGCTTTGTCATTTGGTCAGATTTTGCGAAGTAGGAAGTACAGAAAACATTTTAGGACCTCCCTCTATACTAACCGGTTAATTATTTGTATTCTTCTAACTAATATAAAGTACCAATCAGCATAGCGTCTCACGTGATGGCTATTGTCTTTTGTGGTTGATTATGGTACAGGTGAAGATGCGACTCGTTGGAAATTTTTCTACAACAAAGGGTTTGACTGATTTGGTTTGGTTTGGTTTGGTTTGGTTTGGTTTGGTTTATGGCATATCAACCACAATGGGTTATTTAATGCCAAGAAAATTTTTATTGCTGATAATATTTATTTTTTTCAAAAATGTATTGCTAATAATATTTTTTTCCTTCAAAAATCTATTTCTGGTAATATTCCTTCCTTCAAAAATTCTATTTCTGGTAATATTTTTTCTTCAAAAATCTATTTATGTAATATTTTTTTTCTTCAAAAATGTATTGCTGGTAATATTTTTTTTTTTAAATGTTTAACTGGTAATATTTTTTTTCAAAAATTTATAGCTGGTAATTTTTTTTCAAAAATGTATTGCTGTTAATAATTTATTGCTAGTAATCACTTTTTTTCTTATCGCTGGTAATAATATTTTACGAAGTATTTCTGGTATTAAAATCTGTTTTTACATTTTCATAGTGTTTTGACCCCAGTTTGGAGGTTAACTATTTACCCATAGACGGAGCCCTAACAGGTGCTAGCACCTCGGCTCTGGTGAACCTGGAAACACCAGCAATTAAGGCTTCTCAAAACCTTCTGATTGCTGTTGAACGTAGTTTATCGTCTTACCCAGGACGCGGATGTAGTTTATCACCATAACCAAAACGGCGGATTTGACTGAGATCAGTTATTTGTGAATGTCAGCAAATAATATCTCGATTTTTAACTGGAAGTTACTGGGGAATGCATGAATAAGAAACAAAATTGCTACTGCCTCAACCACAAAACGCACCTAGGAAATAGATCTGTTCAGTAGATAGATAGATAGATAGATAGATAGATAGATAGATAGATATGAACAGGTAGATAGATATGAACAGATTGACATAGATAGATAGATACGTTCGAAGTGCAAGTTAAAGTTTTGTTGTTCTACCAACTCATCAGGCACAAATTATTACTTTTGTGCCTGATGAGTTGGTAGAACAACGAAACTTTAAGTTGCACGTAGGTATATGTATATGTATTAATATATACTTCTTAGCTCTGTCTAACCACACTGAGCACTGTTTTGTTTACACTTTAAATTAAATTAAGTAAATATTTATTCTCTTACTTGTTTATGCACGCAAACGCACGTATATACAGTTGCTAATATCTAGTTATTTGATTTATCCACATTAATATCTAGATTGATATGAAAAGAATGAGATAGATAGATAGATAGATAGATAGATAGATAGATAGGAAATGAAATTAACAGAATGAGAAAGAAAGAAAGAAAGAAAGAAAGAAAGAAAGAATAGCATAGAACGATATCTGTGAATACAATATTTAAGTGAACAGAATGAGAAAGAAAAAAAGAGAGAGAATGAATGTATGAATGAATACAAATATAAATAAAGAACGATTTATTGATTCGTTTTTACGGTTTATCAACCCTTTGCAGTTTATTTAAAGCCAGAAAATATTTTTAGATTGTAGGAACTTTTTTGAGATAATAGTAATTTTTAATGACAAAAGTCCTAAAAATTAGCACCCATAGCTGGGGGGGGCAAAAGAGGTGGATTCCTTCTTTTCCAGAGAGTATTTGGGTATAACTGAATATAACGAACACGACTGAAACTGAAATTCGGCCCTAATTTTTAATTCCGATCCGTTATCCATTACACCACCCGCACATCCAAGCTTACAGAACCCGGTCACCCATCTAGGTACTGACCAGGCTTTATGCTGTTTAACTTCGGTGATCGTACGAGAGCCAGTGTTTCAACGTGATTTGGTCGTAAGCCTGGAAAGAAAGAAAAAGAAAGAAAGAAAGAAAGAAAGAAAGAAAGAAACGTAAATCTAAACCAATCTCCAGACAAACACCTGATATTCCTGTTTTGGCTGCAAAGTTCCTTATTGGTCCCAGGTTGCAATAATGCGTGTCCGACGTGGATCAATTTCAAATGGGCCAGCGTCAAATCCAAATGGAAAAAGGATCCTGAATATTCAAGAGGAATCAGCAGAGACATTGTCGTCCGACCGTTTCATGTCCTTTCTTGAACCATTCAAGCGTAACTCGTTCTCTTGTGCACAAGTGATCATCTCACAAAACTGACCAAGATTCGAAACTCAGTTGGGATTTACGTCAGTATTTTATCTTAAAAGTTATTCTTAATACTTCATATATTTCACATTAACGATCGTTTCAATCGACTTGAACTTTCCAGTCTCTTCTAGTAATCCAGCTATACGCACATGCAATATATATATATATATATATATATATATATATATATATATATATATATCAATAGATAACATTAATCCAAAGAGAGCTTAATGTACGTAACAGAGAAATATAATAATAAGTATATTATATTGATTTTTTTCTTCCTCTTTTAATATAATTTTTTTTTCCTTTTTCCTTTCCCTTTTCCTTTTGTCTGTACAAATTGATTCCATTTATTAAAAAAACTTCGGTCTGAAGAGATGAATATTTCGATATATTCATGAAATAAATTATAACTGAATGGAGTTTTAAGGATCGTCAGTACTTATATATATATATATATATATATATATATATATATATATGACCTAAGATTGCGTTCAAGCATGATTGACGCCTCTTAGTGTTAAGTATCCTCTTTTAAATTTACATATGCTCTATCCATGATATTGGGCACTTTTTTTAATCATTTCACCCAAAGCAAGGCAGTAAAGCCGCTAAGATGCAAGTGGTTACTGAGTGTGAAAGAATAAAGAAAAGATAAACATTATAAGGGGCGAGAGCAATAAAAGGAGTGGAATAAAGAGAATATTAAATAACGATTGACATTGCATTTACATTTTTGAAGATCAACGTTGTCTGGAAAACTTAAAGCCAGAAGTGAATTCCACAAGCGAGAAGTATTGAAACTGTTAGCATAGAACTTACGTTTTCAACTAGCTAATTTAACCGTAAAAAGATGAAACCTTGTTTCAATCTAGTACTACGCTTATATTTGTTGTGTACTTTGGCTTGGAAAAGTAGTGATTCTGTAATTATTGATTCAGAAGGAAAATTTCTCGAGAGTGCCGCCATTGAATATTATCCAAACACTAATCTACTCCCAGGTTTTTTTCCCAATATCACCTTTTCTAACAGAATCAAAAGAAAACGGTTGAATCCGTCAACACAACAATATAAAACAATATTTCTGCACGTGAAAATATTATCTTCAAACATAAAGTAATTGACGTAATTTTTCAGTTGACCATATTAATATACAACAGCGTTTCTAAATTCTTCTAGTTACTAACGACATTTTGTTTTTTGTATATAGATAGTTTGTTTCAATAAATTCATTTCGTTTTTTGCCTTAAAAAAAGTCTACATTAGACGAAACGCGTCGGCTCAAACTACAGTTTTCCTATAGCCTTTTTTTCCTATTTACATATTGTCTTTTTTTCTATAGGTTAATTCTGGAGAGTTTATGTTCAACAATTTACTGTTACGAAGGTCGGTCTTCTTTCTACACAACAGTATTTTTGTTATGATGGTTAATTATTACATATAAAAAAAGAAAATATTTCCAGTTGTTTATAAATTTGTAACTTAATGATCTAAATCTAATGTATAATACAGTAAATGTCTGGCAGACATAGTGAATTGGAATCGAAGTCGTATGGCAGAAATGGTGAACAGGACTTGCCTTATTCCCGACGAAAGAGAGTTCGTCTTTGTCTGGCATGTAAGACTTCGATTTGAAAGACGGCGAGTACATCGTTCCGTCAAAAGAGACCCGCCCCCTTCTTTGTTGTCCTGCAAGAAATTGGTTATTAACAACTGTGTATAATATTAGCGTGATTGGATGGAATCGAGGACGGACATCCGGCTGTGTTCTTTCTCCATTCTGAGTTACCCGTATGTCTAGTATGTCTATCATCCGGGCGAATGATTGGTGATTACCCATTATAAGGAAACGTCTCTGTCGGGTGTACGGACAGTTGTGACAAGAAACGAACGACGAAGTGGATACAAGGACAAGAACAACGAAAAGTACAAAGAAACCGCTGTAGAGGGAACAATTGCCCAATCTGAAATTGTGTCCCAAAACAGAGTTGCTAAATGGTCATTGTTTTCATCTTATACATAATTTCACCATGCATTTCAACCTTAGTAGATACTAGCAGCATGGCCCGGCGTTGCCCGTGCTTGATTCAAAAATCGTACTACTCACACAGCAATCGCTATCACTTGACTTAAAATATTTTTGCACTTCCTTGCCTTTAAAGGAGTGCCCTTTGCCGTGCTGATGTTGCTATATGCCTTACTTCTTGCCTATCTCACACTGCGAATTTTTTCCAAGCTCTATACAAAACATTAAATCTGTTACGAAAAAAGAACTAAACAAAATGAACACAAAATGATCAGCTTTAAAAAAAGACTCGTAACTGGAAAAACCGAATGAAAAAAGAATGTTAACAACAAATACTTTTTCACACCCAACCCAGTTCTGCGGAATCAGAATCAACGTTGAGTTTAAGCAAGCGAATGAGCCATGCAGATTTAAATTTTTCCCACTTTTTTTGCATGCTAGCATGCTAGTTAACATTCGTGTCAGTCAGCTGTTGGCTCTCATTCTGACCAATAGAATCTTCCTGCTTATTCCTGGCAGCCAGCTATTGGCTCTCACTCTGGCGCGTAGAAAATGGCCGCAAACTACGTGAAAACTGCCGTAGAAGCATGAAAAAATCGATTATTTCCACTATCGATGGGAGTTGGGAAATGCAAAGTCGGTCTTGGCCTTTCCCGCTAACTTGGAGCATGTGCATGTAAATTTTGGTGCAAATCCGTCGAAAATTGCGGCCGTGCATTCGTTACACACACACACACACACACACACACACACACACACACACACACACACACACACACACACACACACACACACACACATCCTGCCTTTTATAGATAGAGATTAAACGCGTAGGACAAGTATCATTCTCCGGCGCCTTTCAACCTCAGTAGATATACGTCGCTATGTCAAGACGACATGTCTAATATGCTGCTCCAAACAACAGTTGACAAGAGATATAAAAGCAACAGAATTTCTACATACACTTCTGTTCTTTTCTTTTCTTTATTCGAGAGTGGGGGCTGAAAGGTTATCGACCAGCCTCACTTCCCCAAATCGAATGACAACGCATCAGATTTTTAGTAAAGAAGAGATTCTTCGCCAGGCCGAGAACTTTTCAGTATCTCCTCGCGTGAAAATACAAATGAATTTATTTTTAATTTTACCTCGCCACTCACATTATCAGTTCTAAAACTTGTTTTAAAGTATTTTTTTAATATTTTCTGATAGTGATGTGCTATTTGTTGACAATTGACGAAGAGGTACTAAAAAGTTATTAAAGTCGATCGTATTCCTGCCTTAAGTTATTAGTCACGGTACATTGAGAGATAAATAATTACACAGATCGTTAACGTCTAAAAAAAAAAAACGTCGGTCAGTCTGAGTTTGTATAATTACTTTCTGCTAATTTATACACTTTTTTTTTTTTTGTTTCCGCTTGAGACACTGGGAATTAATTAAAAAGACATCGAGTCGCTTATCTTTCTTTCTGTGTATATATGCATGAACAAATTACGTAAACCAACAACATCAAATAAATAATTTTTTGTCATCTATATGTATGTTTTTTTAAGCATTTAACCCCACGTAAGGCGGGAGTGCTACTAGCACGCAAGGGGTTACAGAGGGTATAGAACAAGAGTTAAGAGGTGTGTTTGGAGAGAGAATAAATAGAAGGACGTGTAAGAAGATCAAGGTATCAAATGATGTCGATTGACATTACACTTGAATATTTGAAGATTATAGTTATCAGGGAAGCAAGTAAGAGGAAGGGAGTTCCACGGACGGGAAGTGCAAGAGCTGTTTGAGTAGAAGAGACGGTTACATTTAACCGTTTCGACAGTCAAAGATGCCAACCTAGTAGCTCGCTTAAATTCATGCAGTCTGGGAACCAGCGAAAGCAACTCGTCGGAAAATACTTATAGAAGAGACAGGGGGAAGCCATGGTACGTCTGTGAGAAAGCGACTGTAGACTAGATGCCAGATGCCAGGACCTATCACATTGCATATCCGTCTCTGGATTTTGGCGAGGACCTTGAGACTTACAGCGGGGGCACCTGACCATATATAACAGTAATATTGGTTTGATTTGTTTTGTTTTACGGGATATCAACCTTCATGGATTTTTTATGCCGACAAGATTTTTATTGCTGGTAATATTTTTTTCAAAAATTATATTGCTGGTAATAATTTTCTTCAAAAATTCATTGCTGGTATTAAAATCTATTTTTACACAGTTTGGGCGTTAAGTATTTGCCCATATCTGGGACCCCTAACAGGTCCTACCACCCCGGATTAGAGTGAACCTGGGAACACCAGCAATTAAGGGGTGCTTCCACGCTCCTCAAAACCTAGTGATCAGAGGCCTTTGCTGCTGGATGTAGTTTATCGTCTTACCCAGGACAATCTACCAGTATGTGTCGTATATCTTGTCAATCTTAACAATCCTTGATTATTTTCATATTCAGCTTAAATAGAAAAATTAGAAACATAATTGCTTGTTATTAATTTTCAGTTTGGACTTTTGTTATCTTTATAAATATGCAATTGTTTTGTTGGTGTCTTTTTATATTTAAATTGCTTAATTATTTAAATAACACTATTTTCTGCTCCGAGAGTGGGAACGACCTTAACATTTTGATTACAGCTTGAGGGAGATATGCAGTAAGCTATGTACAAGG